GTTGAAAAAAAAATTTTTTTTTAATAAATAAATAAATAAATAAAAATAAACCCCAAAACCACTAAAACAGATGGGAGGTTCTTTAAGTACAAAATACAGGCATTCTAAGTATCAGATAGTTTTGTCTCCTTTTTAAATTTCAATCCAGGGACACTTGGGTGGCTCAGCCAGTTAAGCATCAGACTTCGGCTCAGGTCACGATCTTTCGGTCTGTGAGTTCGAGCCCTGCATCGGGCTCTGTGCTGACAGGTCAGAGCCTGGAGCCTGCTTTGGATTCTGTGTCTCCCTCTCTCTCTGCCCCTCCCCCGCTCATGCTCTGTTTCTCTCAAAAATATATAAAACATTAGAAAAAATTTTAATTTCAATCCATTTTCTTATATATTCAATCCCAGAGCTAATCACATTATTGTGTCATTTGTAATGCTTACTGACAAATCATGGGTTCTTTTTTTTTTTTAATTTAACTGAATTAAAATGAGTCACACAGCATGGATCACTTGTCAAATGGGAAAATGTCAGAATCTGTCCTTATGTAGACTAAATGTTATTAAAGAGTTGAAAAGTGAGTTTGATACTTAACGTGACTAATACAATCATCTAAAATTAAAATGTTTTTTACTTAGTGTTTTCTTCATCATAGCACAAGCAAAAATGACAGAAATGATTTTTTTAAATTCCTGTCAGGATTCACAAGATTGCAATTTACTTTGTAAAGGGCTCACAATTAAAAGAAAAAAAAACAAAAAAAGAAAAAAGTAATAAAGAGAACTCCCAGGCCAGATGGCTTAGTACCTCACTAAATAGTAGCTGGGAAGCTAAAGCAGACCCATCGTTGGGGCACCTGGGTGGCTCAATTGGTTAAACATCCGACTTCACTCAGGTCATGATCTCACAGTTCGTGAGTTCAAGCCCCACGTCAGGCTCTGTGCTGACAGCTTGGAGCCTGGAGCCTTGGAGCTTCAGATTCTGTGTCTCCCTCACCTGCTCACACTCTGTCTCTCTCTGTCTCTCAAACATAAATAAACATTAAAAAAAATTTTTTTTGTAATTAAAAAAAAAATAAAGCAGACCCATCCTTGCTGTAGAAACCAGGGTCTGGTTATGAAAATGCTACCTTCCTCTAGGTCCCCAGGAGAAAGGGATTACGGTATAAAGTTTCTTATCTTTGTGTGTCTTACAAGAAGCAAACTGAATTTCCAAGTGTACATCAATAATACTGTAGGAGTGCATTAGGCAATTCCTGTAAAGCCCGAATTATAAAAACATGGATTTTCAAATTTCAAGGTAATGAAATGGTCACTATATATAACTTAACATTTATTATTTTTGAATTATATGGGCTGCTGTCAAACCCCATCTAACTTCTAGGTCAGGATTAAAGGTTTTATCTTTCTTCCAAACAAAAGACTTCAAAGAGTCTTAAGTAATCAACACTTTGAAATAGCAATCTTTAATATGAGGAATTTACTGCCCCGGCCCCTCCCAAATTTAAATCCCTTAAGATAACAAC